TAGTGCTCCCCAGGATGGCACTACTGCAAGATGGCAGGACCTTTAGGAAGGCTTAATGGGGAGGCCTTAGGTATTAGGAGCATGCCCTTGAAGGGATTGTAGGACCCAGCCTCTTCCATCCCTTCTTGCTTCCTGGCTGGTGTGGTGAGTAGTTTTGCTTTACCATATTCCAGCTATGATATGCTACCTTGTCAGAATCCTGAAGCAGTGGGCTTCCCAATTGTGGACTGGAAGCTCCAGAACTGTGAGCTAAACCTTTTCTCTTTACAAGTTAATCACCCCTAAATATTTTGTTTGCATTCAACAAAGCTGAATCCTTTCCATGCCCTAATTCTTGAATGGCCCAAGGAAGGAAGTGGGGGCTGGAGGTAAAAGAGGTAGTTCCTATCCAAGAAATGGAAAACTTTCTCACTAGCAGAGTTGAGCACCTGTTGCCCTTGGGTGACTGCGGGCACTGACACCACTTCTGTAGCACACATGGAATAAAAGTTTCTGTGAATCTGGGCAACACTTTTCCAGGAAGGAAAGACATGAACCATCACTGAAATTAGTCTATTTGTATTCCAGATTGTCCCATGAATACCTTGCTTTAAAAAATAATAATAATACCTTTATTTCTTCAGTTATTGTTGGGAAAATTGAGATACTGAGCATTATCATTGATTCTATTTTAAAACATACTTGTTGAGTAAGGGAGCTGGGAATACGGTCCCCTTCTTTGCATCAAATTTATTACTTTTTCCTGAATTCATTTCTCTTTTTAATGAAAAGTTTTCAAGATCTCAAGACTGTGAGAAGCCGGGTGTGGTGGTATAGATTTAGAATCTCACCACTCAAGGAGACTGAGGGAGGAGGATGAAGAGTTCCAGGCCAGCCAGGGCTACATTGAGTGATTCTGTCTCAGAACAAAAGACACAATCTTTTTTTTTTTTTTAAGTTTGACTGTCAAGTGAGATATAAGACACTTAAAACTTTTTATATTCACATAACTTGAATTGTTGACTCAGAGTCTGGAATAACATTTTTCTGTCCAACTTGAAAAAAAAAATCACTGGCAATACTAAGATAATTATGGAACTATTCAGAAACCTTCCTTGGATACTGACAGGGAGCCTCTGCCTCTCTTAGAGAAGACGAAAAGCTGTAGGAAGAAAGACGGAGCAGCAATAGCTGCTTAAGGAGCTGGGAAAAAGATGTATGCAGAACCTTAGTCAGATTTATCTTTCTCTGACAGGTCCCCTGGGGTAAGTCATTTTGGCAGTAATATAATTATAATAACAAGATCTTGTTTACTGAGATAAATCTAGTTGTCATGCCTCACTCAACTACTAACAAGACAAAAGTATTGAGCAGAAATTTTTTGTCTGGGATTCGATTTAGGGGTAGGCACTCTGGACTTGCAAAGTGTTTTAGGCTATACTATGAGAGACAGATCCCCTCAGTTCCTTCTGCTGTCCTTCCCTGGATCTGTACTGGGAACCTAAAGCAAATAAAATAACAAAGCAAAGAAAATGGTTAGGGTGATGTTGGTCAAAGAATACAAAATTTCAGTCAGATTGGCCAAAGACATCCAGATCTATTATGCAATGTGGTGACTCTTATTAATAATAATGTATATTTAAAAATCACTAAGAGATCCAAAGTATTCTCATAAGTGCCTGAGTCGAGGGATATCCCAGTTAGCATGAGTTAGCTACTCATGGTATAACAATTTCAAGACATTATGTTGTACACCACAAATATGTACATATTTTGAAAAATAAGGAGAGGACAGATTGACCAAATAATATAGAAGAAGGGATAAGGGGAGTAGACGGAAAGGCCTGCCTCTCAGTATAGCCATGAGCCACATAATAGCATCTCTGTCAGCAACAGGCCATACATAGGACTGTAGTCCCTTGGCTTGTGTCACTACGTGATGTGGTAGCCATCCTCATTTGCGTTCGCACAGGTCTGATGTTCACACAGAATATATCCTGTCCTAAAGTGATTATGTGACTACATGTCTCAGACCGTCAGTCCTGCCCAGGCCAGCCCCAGCAGAATAACACAAAAGCTGGAAGCGTGCTGAACTTAGGCAGCCCGTTTAGTTGGTCAGCTGGCCCTGAGGAACTCTGCATTTGGCTCTGAGAAGGCGGGCCTGTGGGGATGCCTAGGCAAGGGTGGCCTCTACGCCTGGGCCCTGTGTCTCTGAGGAGTTCAGCAATCTTGCTCAGCAGGCTGTCAGGGAGCTGAAGCTCAGCCAAGGGATGTGGGACTTATTTGCACTTTTAAGGATCGACCTTCAGTTACTATAGCAGTCCCTCCTGGAGCCACCTGCAAAGCCACAGCAAGGCCAGCTACAGAGGCCCAGTCTGGTGTTTCTGAAGAGTGAGGAGCAGTCACTTCCTGCCTTTGTCCTTTAGCTCCCCACTGTGGCTCCGTTTACATTCTTTCAGTGATTTATGGGAAGGCCTGGCCTCTCTAAAATGTTGCAGTATCTTTTGCTAGCTCTTAGCTAGCATCTGGAAAGATCCATCACTAGATACACTAGGCTTATTTTTCAATAATCAGATGATTTACCCTTCATTGAAACCAGACAAGGGTTTCACTGATCTAAATCTGGAGGGATTTTACAGCATCTCAAGCTATGGTACAGTTTTGTTTTGTGGTCCAGCTGTCACAGGGTGGTTTGGGGATTCTGCTACAGAAAGGATGGGGAGCTGAGAAGAAAGGAAAAGTGTTCACTTTTGTGCTTTGGCTATTGAGCCAAGATATAAAAAGGTTATGGTTTGGAAAGAAAATGATTGCAATGACAGGAAAGATCCTAAACTAAAACTTCTGGACACTTAAAACCTTTAGTTGTTTTGTTTTTTTTTTAATACTTATATACCAATCCACTTGGACTATGGGACAGGTCCCATCAACCGATCTGTGGCTCACGCCTGCTATGGCACTTGTTGGGTTGTTTTTGTCTTGGAGCAATGTAACAAGTAAGGAAGGGTGCCACCTTCATCCTTGGAAAAGATACAAGAGATCGGTCTTCTGCAGAATCCAAATTGGATGTGTAATTGAAGACTGCCTGAAGTGTAGGTGTATGCAGGTAACAGCAGCTAATTAGACTAGCAAAGTTCCGGGATCCAGACGACTCCATTGCCAAAGGCAAAATTCCCTGTGGCCTTGGCTTTTCAGCAAAGATTTGCATATGGAAAACCCTGGAAAAGAACAAAGAACTCTCACTCTGGATAAAGAATGAAGTCTTGGCTCTCTAAGCAATTCCTGAAACGACAGGCTGTATGGAATCCTCTGCCAGGAAAACGTCTGGAGGGAAAGAGACGACAGACTTCAGGTTTGGTTTAAAGTGGTTTATGCTTTCTTAATGTGTCTGTGCTTCTGGGTCTAAACAGTTAATCGTCTGCGGCCAAGGATTCCCATCCAGTTCTGAACTCAGTGCTGTTTTCCCTCTGGAATGACACCAGTCTGCAGACATTGTTAATAAGGATGGACTTCAAAGGCCTTGGACTCTACTCAGGTTCCACTTAGATGCTGAGCTTGTAACCTGTACCTCTGGAGTCAGCAGGATTTCAAAATTGTTGTTAGACTCTCGGCCACCTCGGGAGGGTTGTGGAGCACTGGCCTTCATCCCAGCAGGACTGCAAATGGAACTGAACGCTGGGGAGACTTGAAGTGTCTGAAACAGGGAGCGATGCCTCAATTAGAGGTGGTTTTGGAAGGAGGGCTGGGTATGTGAGAATGTCTTCCTAGATGAGATTTATTGCCACAGCTCATGGTGGAAGTGAGCTGAGTGGCTCACAGGCTGCATGAGTCTCTGCAGCAGGTCTTTCTCTCGCACGTGCATTTCTCTCAGGTGGATTTTGCTTTTCCTCTTGTTGGAAGGTCACTAACACTGTCTTCAACATCCCATTTGTGATGCTGGCTCTGTCATCCAGGCTTTGGTACTTCCCCACCTCATGCCTACAGCCCAATCACTTTTAATATTCCTTAGTGGTGCAAGAGATATTTTCACCTAATTCCTTTGCTGGTCATAGTTAGGAAGCATCCTGTCCTGTGCATGTTATGGCAGGTAGGTAGAGATGCTGGTGGATGGTGTGTGTGTGTGTGTGTGTGTGTGTGTGTGTGTGTGTGTGTGTAAGGAAGGTTTTGAGGACTCCCCTAGCCACCTCAGTGCATACAGACAGGTCTCAGACAGGTCTGTTGCCCCATGTGTGTGTACCCATTTAACTTATAAGTGAAGGTTGAAGGCTTTGTGGTCTGGAGTGGGGGGTTACTGGTTCCTGTGCTCTATGTTCTAAGAGGGGAAATTCCAAGCTCAGATGGCCTTATGATTAGTGATGATTCAGGACCATGTTGTTATCCTGCCTTTAAATTTTCCTCTGCTTTCCAAATGAGCCCCACCCCCAAGCCCTTGGATGATCCTGGGCTGTTTACATGTTTCCCCTTACACAAATGAGCTCTGTAAACAGTGACACAGGACTGCATCCCAGTCCCACTGGCTTCTACGGGGAAAACAGGGATTTCTTCCCAGTGCCCTTCTGCTGACCTTGCTGGGGAAGAGAGCTAACAGGGATTGCTGACCTTCCCGGCTTCCTTCAGGATTTCCTGAGACATACAAAACTCCATTCTTCTGTGATCAGCCACATTAAATCTATAAACTTTTAGAGCAGATCATGGGGACAACTAATATTGGTCCCTTTTGGACTCAGCATGAGGTCAAGCAAACATACAAAGCCATCATTATGCTCCCTGAAGTCCTAAGGACCTTCTACGTCAGCTGCTGGCAGAGGGGGTGGGGCAATGAGGTGGGGCATAGTCCCCAGGAACAGTGCTGGCCAGGCAGGAAATCAGGCTGAAAGGAGATGTAAGGGCTTTGGTGGGAAATAAATGGCACTGTGTTGTTGACGGAAAAAGATCTTGGCAGGACTGTTGTTGTGAGTGTTCTGTGGCTTAGAAAGGAATTTCCTACAGGCTGGACTAACCATTAAAAATGTCTCTACCTTCAGGAGTCCTCGGCGTGCAGTAGAGCCTCGCTGGGGGAAATGTCAGCTTGGACCATGGGCTCCCGCGGTCTGGACAAGCGAGGAAGTTTCTTTAAGGTAAAATGAAGTCCGACTGGGATCACCCCTTTCAGCTGTGTTTCCTTTGGGGGGCTGCCTGGGAAGCTGCAGGCACTTGCAGCTGCAGACTGAAGCTTGGGAGCCTGCTAACTGAACCAGCTGGGCCAGGGAAGCCTGCCTGAGCCCAGCTCTGGCTGCTCAGGCATTCCGCAGCAGGTTGGCTTTTGTGATTTAATACTTCCTTACAGGCCTGGGGCTAGGGTGGAGAGATGCCACAGTGTAAGTTGGTGGAGGGGCTTTACTGGTAAAATGCTTGGCTTTTTCAGATGGGGGATTTTAGAATGAAATCTGGACTTTGCTTTCCAGAAAATTTATGATCTCCTTCTGCCTAGCTGAGTCCTTTAAATGCAAAAGAAAATGAAAACTGAATCCAAAACACCAAACTACTCCTGGACCTCACCTTAGGCTGATTTAAATGTTAGTTCTTGGTGTGTTTTATCAAATGCTCCAAAGGTTTTTTATGATAGAGCGAAAGAAAAACAAGATTAAAGCTGTACAACTTTTCAGTGTCATGTGGGTATTGTTGGGACTAAATTAACTCTCTGACTTAATGAGAGATTTTAAAAGGATGTTTTATATAGTATGTGCTTAAGATTTGGTAGTTATTTCTAATTTATACTTTGAAATCCATTCCCTTTAGTGGCTTCTTTACTTGTTTGCTCACAATTACCCTCAAATAAATGTATATTTATTGTAGAAAATATAGAATCATGCCCCCCCAATAGAAGAAAGGATGTAAAATATGCACTTGAAATGTGTTATAGACAGTTGTGTCAAACAATGCACCTTGTCCACAGAGAAGAAACACCAAGTAAACTTTATTGCTTTATTCCTGAGAAAAAAAGTGCTTGTGTTTGTTCAGTCCTGCAGCCTTTGTGTGTTATAGAGATGTATTTACTCGTATTTATTTGTTCCGTTTCCAAGAGACCATGACTGATATGTGCCAAAGGTTGACAGTACAAAACCCACTAGAAGTCCTGTTGATAGAGCAAAGCTAAGATCATTAGCTGATGAGAGAGACCACCAGAAGGACAGTCCTATCCCTTGGGAGAAGGACTGACAGGGTTCAGAGGTCAGGTTGTAGGTCCTTTGAGTTGCTTTTTTAAAGACAGAACACAATTGAATTTCAGCGAAATTTGTAACATAGCATCTCAGGACTGGTGGACAGAGGCTTTTGAAGTGAGTCTTGTTGAGTAGATCTTTGATAAATGAGATGCTTCCCCCAAGTGAACAAGCTGTTAGAATTTCCTACAGCAAACACTAAAGCCTTTTATTGGTTTAGAGCCCTAACTCTCTGGGCAAGAAAATCCTGGAAGAGTTAAGTTATATTGACACAAATGACCTCAGTTCTCAGTCCTGTTAGTAAAGTGTAAAACTCTTTTAATAAGTTCCTTAGTCTCTAGTAATCTGCCTCCGTGTCCTCTCAAATCATCAGCCTCAGTCCAAAACCTAACAACAAGTAATCCCAATTCTCAACTAGTTTACTCAGCTTATGTCAAACCTATGTAACTTCTACAAACGTGAGGCAGGTGGGAGAAGGCGAATCCTCAGGTCTCCTGGGGATCGAGAGCTGAACCTCGGAGCTGGAGAGATGGCTCAGCAATTAAGAGCACTGGTTGTTCTTGAAGAAGACCCAGATTTGAATCCCAGCATCCACATGGCAGCTAACAACTGTCTGTAACTCCAGTTCCAGGGGATCTGACAGCCTCTTCTGTCTTACGCAGGCATTGCACGACATGGGTGCACTTACCTGCACACAGGCAATACACACATACACATAAAATAAAAATAAAAATAAATAAGAGCTGAACCCCAAGTCCCTGGATTGTACTTTATACTGAGATAGCCATGCCTTATCCCAAAATGTTGCCTAAATTAGCCTATTGACTAGTCCTTAATTACCACCTTATAATATATGGGGAGCACTGTGAAATTGTAGCTTACATAGTGGTTAGACTTCAAAGCCAAGGCAAAAGAAGAGAATTTTGAATGTGGTCAAAACTGCTTTTAACAGTTTCTTAGGAGGATGTCCTATTGGATCAAATAGATTGTCTATCTTGAAGTCAGTTGTAGTCAGTTTTCTCTTCAGTCCTAGGAAAGTCATGCTTGTTTTTATTTTTAATTTTCAGTGGAACAGCAGGTAAAGTAACTGGCTTGGACTTCTGACTTATGTTATAAGAAAGAATCAACCAGAGAAGAGGCAAAAGTTAGCTGAGACCACCGCAAGTCCTATTTCTTGATCTCTCTGGGGTCAGAGCCCCCTGTGGAATATGTTGACAAAGAAACCTTGTTTTTATCTGCATTTTTTGGCAGAGCTTAAATTATGTAATTTCTTTAAAGTAGATATTTTTTGTAAATGAAATACCCACTGAGTATAGGATATTTTTTTTTCTTTCCTCTTGTTAATGGACATTGTAATTCTGTAAATCTTCACCAGCATTAGGCATGGAGTCCTCTGCAGAGATGAAATAATACCCTTTGCACAATTAGTGTAATACACTGTAGTGCAGTGACTGAGGCAGTTTTCCCCTAGCACATTCTGGGACCTACGGGTTCTTCCCTTCTGCCTCATGCTTTATTTAAAGTCAAGTCTAGCCGAGTGTAGTGGTGCACACTTTTAACTTCAGCATTTGAGTGGCACAGGCAGATGGATCTCTGAATTTCAAGCTGGTTCCAGGTCAACCAGGGACCTGTCTCAAAAAACATATGTAGAAAGAGTCACATCTATTAAACGCCTTTGAGTCCATCAAACTCTGACCTAGGCCGGGTAGAGAGACATTTAGCCTGGTGATCAAGCCAGCACAGCACCAGACACATTATTAGCAATTACAGAAAACAGTCCCTGTGTGAGAAGTAAAAGGGGCTCTGAGAGTAGGTAACCTAACATGGAGTTCCAGAGAAATCTCAAGAAGTGAATGTTGACTTGAGAACTAAGATTGGCTCCATATTTTCCAGAAGGGTAGAGGTAGAGCTACTATAAAGCACTCCTGCACAGAGACCAGTGAAGCCCTGCAACCAGTTATTTTAAAAATATGAGGATTCTTGACTCACAGCTGAATTCCATATTGGGCTTATCATCCTTCCATGATGTTCCTGCTCTACAATTTGTGCAGAGCTCAGATTGTTGGAAGATACTCACTGGACCTCTTCATCATTACCCTCCCTATCTACTTTGTGTTTCTAAATGACTCAGGTTAGAGGATACAGGTGCATGGAGAAGGCCCAGATGGTCTGAGCATTGTGGGATAACAGAGGATGCCCTTGGTCATTGTTCCTGTGGGGTCACATCCTGGAAACCACATAAATCCTTTGCTGGACACACATATTTTCCAGTTGTTCACAGCACCATGATTAATGCTCCTCAGACACCTGTGAAAAATAATATCTTCCTGCTCTACAAGGTCACTGTGAAATATAAGGGTAGGTAGAGGGGTGGAGCCCTAGACAAAGTAACCAGACACCTGTAGATAATTAATAGATGTGTACATCTATTGTAATCAAATATGAAGGATATATTGAATGAAAGTGTTTATATAAGAAAGATGTCATTCTAAGCTGGAGATGTCCAAGGTGGTCCTGATTTAAGAACAGGGATGCTAAGTCATCTTAATCCTTCCTTTTTCTGAGTCTCCCAGCTTCCTCCAAGCTGCCCATCCAGATACCGAGTGCAGGCACATTTTTCGTATGTCCCCAAAATCCACACGTTTCTTTCCTCCTTTTTGTCCACCGCTACTTCGGGTCTGATTCGTTTATAAATAGACATTAAGGATGGTGCTTATGATCCATCTACACTACCACCAAGCATGCTTGTTTGCTTTCTCCCAAACCATTCCATCGATCTGTGTCACCTGCCTCAGATCAAGCCAGTAATCTTCACTTTGATATTCAAACACCCTCAAGCCTGAGGTCTGCCTTTCCCTCAACTCTCCCCCACCTGTCCTGCTGTAGCAGCATGGATCTGAGGCCAAACCTTCGAATGTCCTCTAGGCTTTGCCCTCATGCTGCTGTTTCTGACCCTGTCCTTCAATCTCCCAGCTATCCTTCTAAGCAGATAGAACCAGTTTATCCACTGGCAACAGAGCTCACACAGGCTTAGTGATCTGGGTTCTGTCTTTACTTCTGTCTGAAGATAAAATTGCAGTAGAAGTGGTGAATAGAGAGCTGGGGAGATGGCTCAATCAGTAAAGCATTTGCCTCACAAGTATGTGTTCAATCTCCAGAGCCCACATATAAAGCCCAGTGCAGTGGTGCACACTTGTAATCCCAGCAATGGCAAGATGAGAGGAAGAGACAGGTGGAGCCCTAGAGCTTCCTGACCAGTTAGCTTATCCTACTTGGAGAAGTTCCAGCGAATGAGAGACCCTGTCACAAAACAGAAAAGTGGAAGGCACCTGAGGAACAACACTGGAAGTTACCCTCTGACCTCACTTCACACACATGCACATGCACATCCGTGCTCTTACATGTACACTAACCCCCACCTCCCCACATTAAGAAGAAATAGGGTGTAGAAAGGCCTAGCTGTGGTCTCAGTATAGTACCAGGAATTAAACTTCAGTCCATAACTCCACCTCTGCCATGAGAAATGTGTTTCGCTCTTTTGTTGTCATGACTCAGACCCTAAAGGGAATCCTCTCATGGTGAACAACAGTGACAGAAGATGACAGCACACATCAGCCACCTTTACAGTAGTACTTTTGCGCTTCCTGGACCAGGCGCCCCTCTCCAGCCTCAACTGTCTATGAGTTCCCTTGTCTCAAATGGCACTTCTTAGCGTCCCTGGGACTGAGGGACAGGATGAAAGTTGATCTTAATGAACCATGAAAAAAATGTGTTTGGACCACAGGGACCCTTGCTCAACTGTGTCTCAGAACCACCTGAGCCTTGAGGACATCCCATGATGGCAAACCAGCTGAGGAGGACTGAGAGTGTGGCACACTGGTAGACTTGCTTAGCACATGTAAGACCTGAGTTTCAAC